CTTAAGGGCAAGATATACCACTTGGAAATTCGCGACCCACAAATATGGTTTGGGTTAATATTTATTAAAAGTATTATCTCCTTCACGTTCGAGTTTTCATTGTAGTGGTATTTATCACTGTTTTCGTTTTATTTCAGTTCTGTGCGTTATTCCACGAAAATCCACCAATCAGCTGTCTCCCCCCGGAGCGGGTAACAACGAAACTCTATTTTAGAATATGTTAGGCTTTATCCGTTGAAAGTAAGACCCATTCCAAAAATTGAAAGTGAATTATCCATACCTCGTGTTGATTGTTAGGATCACTAACATGGAGAATGATCCCAACTCCTCATTAAGGGAACCAAGAGGGACAAGTAAATAAAATAAAACCACGATGAAAAACAGCAAAACGTTGTAGAAACAGTGGGTCACATCTGTACCCGTAAATTTCCCCGCTCGACAATGTTGACTTAATCATCCCGAGTGGGGGCGCAGGTGTATACTTCAACATACCAAATTCATGAATAGATACTTGGAAGGCTTGACAGGAGAAACTGAGTCTTGAAGTAGCTGCAAGGCCAACAAGAGAAGTCGTTTTCACAGGGAAAATAACTTTTTATTTTGTTTTTTTTCACAAACGATGATAATTTTTTTTTGTTCATTGCACGAACATGAAAAGGATCCATTCTAACATTAAGTGACAGCGCTGTCTGAAGACGAAAAACTTTCAACTTGCGATCTGACAAGTACATTTACCATATCATCTTACAGTCTTCTGGTCTAAGGACGTGTTGGCATGGCAACCATACGTTCATCCAGGCTCTTTTAGATATGGAATTGAAATTCATTTTTAGAACCCCCCCATCCCTCATACGTATCTACATGTGAAACGTTTTCCTCCCATTTATCAAAGTAAATTATACAAGAAATGCGCCAGAGGGGGGGGGGGTGTGTGTGTGTGCAAGACAAGTTGTTTTACACGTTTGTAGGATGTTAAGACGTACTACGTCTACTTTTAATTTTTATCAAACAATACATGTATACTTATCCTGAAATCATATATGTACAATTAAAATCATGGAAGTGGGGGATATTTCACAACTTATTTATTTTGACAACAGGAATTTGGTAATTTGTTAATTTTTTTTTTGTTTCGTGTTTCATTTATTAATAGGAGGTGATTAGTATTTTGTCTTACGAACCGATCATGATAGTTTACTGACTAAGAGGGAGTTATTTAGTTGTTAAGTACCTTTTGAAAGCGGTTATGATAGTTTACTGACTAAGAGGGAGTTAATTAGTTGTTAAGTATCTTTTGAAAGCGGTTATTATAGTTTACTGACTAAGAGGGAGTTAATTAGTTGTTAAGTATCTTTTGAAAGCGGTTATTATAGTTTACTGACTAAGAGGGAGTTAATTAGTTGTTAAGTATCTTTTGAAAGCGGTTATTATAGTTTACTGACTAAGAGGGAGTTAATT